AAATAGCTGAGGAGGGCAAAGAAGCTGAGGCTGAGCCTTCCCAATCCTCCTGCCCTGCGTATGATGAGCTTTTGGAAATTATGGATAGCGCCACAGCGAGGCTTTACTTGCCGTGAAGCGGGTGAAGAAGTGACATCGCAAAGTATCTCGATGAACGTTATTTTTCTGGCCATAAACCCTCCAGCTCAGGTGAGCCTTCCTTTCTTCCTGTTTTTCATATAAAGATTGAGAAGGAATAGAAGAGGCCGTTTTTCTTCAACCCCCAAAACCGTATTTAAGTGTTGTGCACGTTATGCTTTGCCCACTTTTCTAAAATCCACATAGCTGGTAAGTGCGCACGTTATGCTTTGCCCACTTTTCTAAAATCCACATAAGTGGTAAGTATTGCACGTTATGCTTTGCTCACTTTTCTAAAATCCTGTATGGTAAAGATTTCATGCTCTTTTGAGTGGTTTAAAACCCCGGTTCCGCCTTGGGCACCACTCCTCCTATGTATCCTCTGGATAGCTACTTAACAGGGTGTTGCTACTAGGGGTCTGTTGAGACAGTTCCTTCAGCACATACAAAGAGAAACGTGCGGTAGCCCCTGTGTGACAGGCCAAGACTAGTATGATTCTAGGCTCTTGGTCGTATTCCCTTAAAGGAATCTGTTTCTGATTCCAAGCCTTGAGCTCTACCCCGGGCCCAGGAGTCTGGCCCTAACAGGTAAGTAGTTTGGGGTATGTAGCCTAGGCCTTTGGCCGTAGGGAATAACGTCACTGACAGCCGTCTAAACGTCCCAGGGGCAACTCCCATAGCAATATGGTAGAGTTGGTACTTAGTGCTCGCCATGGTTCTGGCTTGCATTCCCCTCAGCATGGTGGCGTGGGTATACCGTTCCCCATAGCGACCCCTAGAGGACGCAGTTCGAAGTTCCCATGAAAGGGAACGGCTCAGGTTACTTATGTAACCATGGTTCCCTGAGTAGGGAACGAGACACTGCGTACTCTAGGTTTCTTGCCATGCTGCGGACGCAAGCTTCAGACGAAGAAGTGAATGATGTGTAGCTCCCGGCGCCTATTTATACTATAGTCGCACCGGTAGTGACGTCATGGCTGTCGCCGGCCAACGAGTTGGTGTTTTTTCAATGTATGCTTCAGACACGGGTCATGACGAGGCGTTCCCCATAGCGACCCCTAGAGGACGCAGTGTCTCGTTCCCTACTCAGGGAACCATGGTTACATAAGTAACTTGAGACGTTTTCTTAGATACTTGGCTGACATTAGATAAACACATTGTCTACTTTAATTCTAATTTAAAATAATCTTGTTGGTTAACAGTTAATAATCGGTTAACGAGCGTCGGTTATGAAAAATAACCGAAATGAACATCCCTAGTAACAATGACTCTTAAAAGAACAAGAACAGGTTATTTGAGTGAACAAATCCTTTATTACAACAAACTTGAAACCATTTTAATGAAAGTATTGAAGTCTCCCTTCTGAAAAAGTAAATACATTTTAAAAAACAATAAAGAATAAAGCTGTACACCTTATGTATATCTATATCACACTTTAACATTTTAATTAATGTTTTAAAATGATATCAAATGAAAATGTACAACTCCTTTTATTTTTGGCAAAGTTAAAACAAGGACAAACATGATATTCCTCGAAAACAATGTTTAAATAAATTACTTTATTATAAAGAATATTATTATTGTTGCTATTATAACTTTGAAGAACATTGTACAATGCTAATATATTTCTGCCATAATTTCAAGTTAAATCGATCTTTTATTTTAACGGGTTGTAGCGGACCCGTACTTTTTAATTTACAAGAGAATATCTGAGTTACTTTTTCAAATAAGTAACGCAAGTTACTTTTTTCCCCCCAATTTATTGACTGACAGCTCTCCTGTCCCCATGCTGAGACAAATCAGATGTTACTGTAGTTCTAAAATAAATATGAATACCCTGATAGCACACGCACATCTCGGAGATGTCTATTTGACGTCTGCATTACATCTACAAGACGTATTTTTTTAGAGTGTTTGCTCATTTGCTATATGTCTATAGGACATTTCCTTTTAGATGTCAAATAGAGGTCTATTAGATGTCTTTAAGATGGTGTTGAAATGTCTTCTTCTGCATTCTACTGTACTTTCCCTTCAGCCTGAGGCGCATTCATTTCACTTTTGTTATGAAAAGGCTTTTATATTCGCCAAACAAGCAAGCCCTGTCCAGATTTAAAAAGTAACGCAAAAGTAACGTAATGCACTACTTTCCATAAAAAGTAACTAAGTACTGTAATTAGTTACTTTTTTATGGAGTAACGCAATATTGTAATGCATTACTTTTAAAAGTAACTTTCCCCAACACTGGTTGCATATGCAGATTTTTTTTTCATTCATTTTTTTTAAAACCGTAGATATGCAAATGTTTATGGTATGATAACCGTGCACGCTCAATGCAGATGGAGTAAAACCATCCGTAACATCTCTGCCCATTGTCTCTGCGCTTCAACTCTCAATGCACTGCACGAGTGTTTCTAATGTAAAACACAATGAAATGATTTGGCGGTTTGACGGTCTCAAGTGGTAGGCTATATGCTGCGCATTTAAATGTTACGCATGATTTGAAATTATTTGAATACATTTGTACATTTGTAACGTCTCTGACGTTATTTGACATTTTATTAACAACTGATTGTTGGTGAATTTCACAGCTTGTGAAAGTTAGGTGAGGAGAAACTGACTTATCAAGCCCCCTTCACTCAACACACTGTATTTAGGCCGATGTTAAAATCACATTTTTACAATACTTATTGAGATACTTTTAAGGGGCGAAGGAACAAACAAATATCAATACACAGAATGTGATAGTCTTAGGTGAGGACTCATACAGCAGCTTTAATGATCCCCACAGACACACATGAAATACTCATCAGGATCATAGGATGAGTTGCTTCATTCCTCCCTTACCGAGTTGTTGTGCTGAGTGATCACTGGGGTTATGAAGTGAGCCTCCTCTTTCAGAGGTTTCATCCAGTTGGTTTATATGGGTGTGTGTATAGCTCATATTTATGTATTTTGTGCTCAGAGCTTTTTTTAAACATGTTGTAGATGGATTATGAACCTAGCCAGTGTACTTTCTTAAGGATGAATATATATATTTCACCCTTCCCCAAATGCATTTGTAAAAAGTATGGTATTTTACAAATTAATTTGTAGTGCACTAAGTTTGTGCTAGGTTAAAGCATTAAATAACTACATTTAGAGTGTAGTTTCAGTTAGTGTAGACATGTCAATCTATTTTTAGTATACTTATCATGAATGTATTTTAGATACAATTCAGTGTATTTATTTTTGACTAGGGACAGTATAGACTGGCAGGAATCAAGGTGAAGAGAGAGGTGAATGGGATGAGGAAAGTCCTCGAGGTTAAATATTACAAAAACAAAGAGACAGCTGGTAAAACCAGCAGGGCTTACAATACAACTGACACATAGAGAACCGAAACACAGACAGCACCACTAGCAGAGAGACACTCAGAAACAAAACAAAAGGTCCACTGAGGGCCTCTGGTGATCGGCGAGTGGACTACAGCAGCAGAGCACTGGCAATAGTAGAATGTGAACACATCTGTTTGGAAAATAAACCATATTGCAAATAATGAAGGGGTTCAACATTTCTGTAAAGGTTTTGTGGTTAAACCCTAGGAAACCAGGCACCTAAAACAGTGCTAGGTCTCCTGAGTCACGACCCAGAAATGGGCTGCGGCTCTGATTTGGGTCATGGACGGCAAGGAACAACACTGCTAAATGCAAATAAGAAAATAAATGCATAAAGAAACAACAACTTTGACTTACAATTTTGACTTACTTGAGCAACAAGCAACACTCAGTTTTCTTTTTGTTGGGTCTCTTGCAGTTCTTGATCATTTCACTCATCTTTGGTGCTGCTTTGGGTTGCCACTAAATCAATGTGTAAACCATATATGCCATCCAATAATCATCTGAATAAACAATCAATTAATTAACTGAGCAGTCGTTCATATAAATCTGGATAAATAAAAAATAATAGATAAAAACCCTTACAAAGAAGTTTATTCAAGTGTGCTATTAGTATACATCTTTTAAACTAAAAATAGGAAATGGCTGGACCAGGTGAGATCTGTGCTTAATAGAGCTGCTTCAAGTCACCTTTATTTATATAGCGCTTTTGACAATACAGATCATGTCAGAGCAGCTTTACAGTATCAAATAGTGTGTCAATAATGCAGAAGGACAATAGTAAACACTCGTCATCCAGCTCAGTTCAGTTTAAATAGTCTCTGTGCAATCAAGTCGACGATATAGCTGGAAATGAAGTGTGCCCGACAAAGCAAGCCAGAGGAACCGAAACTCCCATTGGTGACAGAATGGAGAAAAAACCTTGGGAGAAACCAGGCTTCAGACTGCTGCTGTGTGCTTTGAACCTGCCTCATTAAGCATTTTAACTTTCCAGACTTGCCCAGTGAAGCGTTAAACAGATGTTGAATTGACTTTGAACTGCTATACATATCTAGATCTATGTCAGTCTCTCTATACATGTGACCCTGAAGCACAAAACCAGTCATAAGAGTCGATTTTGTGAAATTGAGATTTATACATCATCTGAAAGCGGAATAAATAATCTTTCCATTGATGTGTGGTTTGTTAGGATAGGACAATGTTTGAAAATCTGGAATCTGAGGGTGCAAAAAAATCTAAATATTGAGAAAATCATCTTTAAAGTTGTTCAGATGAAGTTCTTAGCAATGCATATTACTAATTTTGACCCATACAATGTATTGTTGGCTATTGCTACAAATATACCCCAGCCACGCAAGACTGCTTTTGTGTTCCGACCCTGTCTGTGAAAACCCAGCTAAAGTCATTTTTTGGTGATTTAGTTTTCTATATAAAATCATCCTTCATAAGGTAAAGAACATTCTGTGAAAATGTAACATTGATATCTTTAATACTGTCTTGAGTAAGACCATGACAAAGATTGAAATCGTAGATTGAAATCGTAGTGAAATTAATGGCTGAAATCAAACTTTGATGCTTGTTATCTCATAATTAGATTTAGAGACTTTAGCCTGGATTTCACTGAGAGGGTCACATATCTGCATTTTCTTTTCACTGCATCAAACTGTAGTCTGCCAGAGTTTTCCAGATTCCCTGGAAGCATGCAGCCCGGCACGGCTGGAATATCGAGAAGGACGCGACTCTGTTTCGAAACTGGGCGATCCACACGGGTACAGAGACTGACTTCTCGGATTACAGCACAGGAAAATAAAAGATATCATCTGGGGTTAAGAAATGATCAGAATGACAAGTGACGCAGACAGGACACGTTTCATATCGAATGTTTCAGACAGTTATTTCTCCGATATCTCTGAAAAATTTCATCGCAAAGTTTTCCATTTGTTCACTTGTAACAACCATTTGTCAGGAAATGATCACAATGCCGTATAAACAAATATGTAAACATTGTGAAGACTTTGTATGATTACAGTTAACAAATATATGAATATGCTATATACTAACATACGTGTTGTTCAGTAGTTATTAAATGGCGCCACATGCATTGGTTACCCTAAGAAACAAGATCTTTGAGTGTCCAAATCTGTATTTTCATTAAGTGAATGCACATTAGTGTCAAGTTTCGCTTCACGTTTTGAGTCACTTAAAAATGTCTGAATGTATTTTCATTCGATACAAAATATCAAACCCCTTGGCAGTTAGATGATGCTTTTCCAAAAGATTTGATCGTGAGGTGACGAGAATCACAAAAACTTTCAACACATTCCCCAGAGTTTGACAAACAGAGAGAGTTGAAGCTGTTTTGTCTTATTTTGAAATATATTTATTTAAAATAGATGTGGCTTGTTTTGATATTTTAATATATAATGCAAAGACATTTTTACAATGTCTGTGACTGCTAGCACTGAGATTTTGCCCAAACCTTTAGAAATCACCAGAACAGCTCGTTTAATACTGCAGTTATATGACTTGTGATTTGACCAAACTGAAGACTGGTACGGTAGCCTCCTCTCCTCTCGTGGATTTCAGGCCGATACAAACCCGGCGCAGACAAACCCGATCCCAAGACGTGGAAAGCAAACTTCAGATGTGCGCTCAACTCCCTGACGGACGTCCACGAGCTCCAGGACAAGAGCATCAAGAAAGGCCACAACGCGTTCAGAGTTTATACTCTCCTTCCACACAGCAAAACAGTCAAGAGACACAAAGGTATCTGCACATAGAAACCTGGGACATTATCGAATACTTCTAGAGTTCACACATAGTGCATCCGTGTATATTGAGTTCCTAAATGTGATTGAGGTTATTCTCGTTAATGCATGAGAAGTCTTGAGTTTGTGATGTTTCTCTTTAGCTTCGAGGTGTTTGGAGAGCGACAGTGAAGCAGCGACACCTCCGCAAACACAAAGGAACACGCCGCTGGAGAGATTTACAGGTGTGAACCGATGACAGGTGACAACCGAAAACACGAACTAGCTTCCCCACTGTAATGGAGATGTCGTATCTTTCCCGTATGGATGCAGAGGCCTTCTGGAAGCTCTCCGATGACCGAGGCAGGGAAGACAAATGTGTCGAGGAGCAGAGACCAGACATCACCTTCTCACAGGGTAACTGTACTCGTCTGTGGACGATAATTAAGACTAGCGGAGGTTTGAGAGTGACTAACGAATGACCTCCGCAGGACTGCAGCTGAATTATCATTCTGAATCCAATTCATACTCTTTTTTCAGCTTTTTGTTCAAAATCTTGTTTATTTCTTTATTTATGAAACTTACCCACAATTCAAGTGTTTAAGAAAAGAATGCATGAAGCTAGAATAAAATGTGTTTGTTTACAAGCAGATACTCTGTTCTTTCTTTTGATGTTTTGTATCTTCAGATATTCATAACAAAATATATACAAATTAATACCTAAATAGAGATGTAGTAGTATACTTAAAGTATGATGTAAAGTTCACTTAAAGAAAACTTACGAGTATACTTGCGGTATAAAACTACTAAACTAGTAGTTTACTGAGACTATACTTCAAAGTGTACTAAAATAAGTATTTAATTAGTAAACTATCAGTGTACCTATAAGTTCACTTCTAGTATAGTTGCAGTACAAACTAAAAACATAGATGTAAACTAGTTCTGTACTCAAAGTTTACTACTGTTATACTTAGTGTACTTTTATATACTAGAAAGTGGGCAATTTAGTCCCAAGGAGTATTGAAATAGTACACTTACAAGTATACTACTAGTACACTGATATTTGTATACTTACTACATAAAGTATACTTAAAAATATACTTGAACTTTACTTAAGTATACTTAATAAAATAAACTTGAAGTATACTACTTTCTGGGAAGGGAACAGATAAAAATCAATCAATAATTAGAATGACTGTCACATTTATTCTGTGGCTCTCACCTGTCTTTTAGTTTTTGTTATCTTGAGTGTATGTACTGTCTGTGATTTTTAAGTTCCTTGTTGGTTACGGTCTTGAAAAAAGTTCTGTTAGCTGTTTTGATCAGTGTTTGCCTCATGTGAAAGCACATTTACATTTACTGATGACGGTCCAAATGAACAAAAGCTGTCTGTGACCGGCTTAACGATGAAATCCCAAGCAAGATGAACTGAGAACAAACATTCAGTGAAGCAATGGAGGCAAAGGTTGAAATATTCAATAACTGCTTTGAAATTTTTTAAAAAAAAGTTCCAAACATGTAAACAATGCTTTGCTATTTGTGTCTCTGTGTGTGTGTGTGTGTGTGCATGTGTGTAACTGGTATTAATTACATTATGAGGACCAAATGTCCCACAAGGATAGTAATACCAGTAAATCTTGACCTTGTGGGGACATTTGTTTGGATAAACAAGCTTATAAATCAATTTTGAGAATCTAAAAGTGCTTGTAGGCTTTGTGTGAGGGGATAGAAAATACAGTTTATACAGTAGAAAAACCATTATGCCTATGGAATGAACCCATAATGATGGGAACACCAGTGTGTGAGAGTGTTTAATTACTTGACTGAGATTGTTCAGTTGTTACAGTCTGCAGTCAAATATAATGTAAGCAATCAGTGTCCTACTGTACTAGTTACTTCATATTGTCTTTCCTTTTTATGCAATATAATACATCCTAATTTCATATATAGTGTATATATTTCATGCATCTTGGCACTGCGTGCTGTAAATGTGTACATTTGCTTTGGATAAAATAATTTGATAAATAAATGAATATACAGTATATGTAAAATGATCAAAATCTGATGAATGTGTGCGTTATGTAAGACTCCTAAATCTGCTTGCTTACACTTTAGTATCTCCTGTATAACCTATATAACCGGTAACCTGTATTACCAATTGGGCCTGATTCACAATGTTTTTAACGTTTAATCAGCGACCAAACTATGGTCTGTACGGAGCGGTTGAGAAAAGAACTGTTTTGACAATCATTCCGTGTTTGTTTGCTGGAGTTTTTAATTAGGACAAAATATCTGCATCGCCTCGGCCGTGAAAAGAGCGAGACCAATGATTGTTTCATCGGAAAATAGCTGAGGTGCACAAACAGCCCAGTGAAGTTCTCAGGAAACAAGGCGAAGCACTACAATGTTACTAAGAACACACCACTGCCTGATAAGAATCTGAAGTGTATCTCTTAAAGCCATTCTGCCACAATTACAACGACACTGGAGAAACCCCCAAGTACCGCCGTACAAAGCTAAATACTTGCTTTTTGTTTATTTCTTTGGCCCTTCAGTAAACACCTTCTCCAGCTATTCTGTCATTAATATTAGTGACTGTACCGATGTATCTGTTTCCCTTTTTCAGTGGAATAAATCAAATGAGTGTTTGATGCATGGGGCGGGACAGTTATAAGGAAACCCTCCAAACCGGTTGGTGCAGGTATGAGGAGCTTTGACTGACAGACTGAGGTGTGATGCTTCCTCCTGTAATGAGTGTGTGTCACTGATTTAAGACTGTCAGACAAACTGCTGGAGGAGTCTGCAGTGAGAAGCACACTGAGCAGAGATGCATCAGGGACGCCTGCGACTGCGGCCGTGGCTGGAGGAGCAGATCGATTCCGGCAGACACCCTGGAGTCGTGTGGCTGGACCAGGTGAGATCTGTGCTTAATAGAGCTGCTTCAAGTCACCTTTATTTATATAGCGCTTTTGACAATACAGATCATGTCAGAGCAGCTTTACAGTATCAAATAGTGTGTCAATAATGCAGAAGGACAATAGTAAACACTCGTCATCCAGCTCAGTTCAGTTTAAATAGTCTCTGTGCAATCAAGTCGACGATATAGCTGGAAATGAAGTGTGCCCGACAAAGCAAGCCAGAGGAACCGAAACTCCCATTGGTGACAGAATGGAGAAAAAACCTTGGGAGAAACCAGGCTTCAGACTGCTGCTGTGTGCTTTGAACCTGCCTCATTAAGCATTTTAACTTTCCAGACTTGCCCAGTGAAGCGTTAAACAGATGTTGAATTGACTTTGAACTGCTATACATATCTAGATCTATGTCAGTCTCTCTATACATGTGACCCTGAAGCACAAAACCAGTCATAAGAGTCGATTTTGTGAAATTGAGATTTATACATCATCTGAAAGCTGAAGAAATAATCTTTCCATTGATGTATGGTTTGTTAGGATCGGACAATGTTTGAAAATCTGGAATCTGAGGGTGCAAAAAAATCTAAATATTGAGAAAATCATCTTTAAAGTTGTTCAAATGAAGTTCTTAGCAATGCATATTACTAATTTTGACCCATACAATGTATTGTTGGCTATTGCTACAAATATACCCCAGCGACTTAACACTGCTTTTGTGTTCCGACCCTGTCTGTGAAAACCCAGCTAAAGTCATTTTTTGGTGATTTAGTTTTCTATATAAAATCATCCTTCATAAGGTAAAGAACATTCTGTGAAAATGTAACATTGATATCTTTAATACTGTCTTGAGTAAGACCATGACAAAGATTGAAATCGTAGATTGAAATCGTAGTGAAATTAATGGCTGAAATCAAACTTTGATGCTTGTTATCTCATAATTAGATTTAGAGACTTTAGCCTGGATTTCACTGAGAGGGTCACATATCTGCATTTTCTTTTCACTGCATCAAACTCTAGTCTGCCAGAGTTTTACAGATTCCCTGGAAGCATGCAGCCCGGCACGGCTGGAATATCGAGAAGGACGCGACTCTGTTTCGAAACTGGGCGATCCACACGGGTACAGAGACTGACTTCTCGGATTACAGCACAGGAAAATAAAAGATATCATCTGGGGTTAAGAAATGATCAGAATGACAAGTGACGCAGACAGGACACGTTTCATATCGAATGTTTCAGACAGTTATTTCTCCGATATCTCTGAAAAATTTCATCGCAAAGTTTTCCATTTGTTCACTTGTAACAACCATTTGTCAGGAAATGATCACAATGCCGTATAAACAAATATGTAAACATTGTGAAGACTTTGTATGATTACAGTTAACAAATATATGAATATGCTATATACTAACATACGTGTTGTTCAGTAGTTATTAAATGGCACCACATGCATTGGTTACCCTAAGAAACAAGATCTTTGAGTGTCCAAATCTGTATTTTCATTAAGTGAATGCACATTAGTGTCAAGTTTCGCTTCACGTTTTGAGTCACTTAAAAATGTCTGAATGTCTTTTCATTCGATACAAAATATCAAACCCCTTGGCAGTTAGATGATGCTTTTCCAAAAGATTTGATCGTGAGGTGACGAGAATCACAAAAACTTTCAACACATTCCCCAGAGTTTGACAAACAGAGAGAGTTGAAGCTGTTTTGTCTTATTTTGAAATATATTTATTTAAAATAGATGTGGCTTGTTTTGATATTTTAATATATAATGCAGACATTTTTACAATGTCTGTGACTGCTAGCACTGAGATTTTGCCCAAACCTTTAGAAATCACCAGAACAGCTCGTTTAATACTGCAGTTATATGACTTGTGATTTGACCAAACTGAAGACTGGTACGGTAGCCTCCTCTCCTCTCGTGGATTTCAGGCCGATACAAACCCGGCGCAGACAAACCCGATCCCAAGACGTGGAAAGCAAACTTCAGATGTGCGCTCAACTCCCTGACGGACGTCCACGAGCTCCAGGACAAGAGCATCAAGAAAGGCCACAACGCGTTCAGAGTTTATACTCTCCTTCCACACAGCAAAACAGTCAAGAGACACAAAGGTATCTGCACATAGAAACCTTTTGGGACATTATCGAATACTTCTAGAGTTCACACATAGTGCATCCGTGTATATTGAGTTCCTAAATGTGATTGAGGTTATTCTCGTTAATGCATGAGAAGTCTTGAGTTTGTGATGTTTCTCTTTAGCTTCGAGGTGTTTGGAGAGCGACAGTGAAGCAGCGACACCTCCGCAAACACAAAGGAACACGCCGCTGGAGAGATTTACAGGTGTGAACCGATGACAGGTGACAACCGAAAACACGAACTAGCTTCCCCACTGTAATGGAGATGTCGTATCTTTCCCGTATGGATGCAGAGGCCTTCTGGAAGCTCTCCGATGACCGAGGCAGGGAAGACAAATGTGTCGAGGAGCAGAGACCAGACATCACCTTCTCACAGGGTAACTGTACTCGTCTGTGGACGATAATTAAGACTAGCGGAGGTTTGAGAGTGACTAACGAATGACCTCCGCAGGACTGCAGCTGAACAAGACCGACGAGCACGAGCAAACCGAAGCGGTGCTGAAGGTAAGATCTCTGGTGGACATGCCGTTCTCATCCAAACACAGGTTAGGAGTCGACTCGAGGACGCCAGCGAGTAAACACGGCTCACTTGCATGAAGCGGGAAAACCTAATAAAGCATCTTGAGCGGCCTTGCTGTCAGCAGGAGCAGCTGTCTGTTGAACACGCACGCATGTGATGCACAAAGTCTCAGCAATAACGCTGCGCTGCCTCAGATTACTCCGTTTATCAAGATATTTTCAGCAGATCGTGAGCGGTTCCACGGGACACTAGAACAGCTCTGGAGCAGGTTTTGTTCATTAAATAGTTGCAAAGGCAACTTACCCTGACACTTAATACTATAGTAATTTATAGTAAATGCTAGTGTTTTTGAACCATACCATACTATAGAGAAGTGTATTATACTGTATACTATAGTATTTACAACACTTTGTTAAAGAATGCTACAGCATACTGTAGAATTAACTATAGTGAACTGAAACTGTAATAAATACTGTAGTATACTTTATAGTTGTAGGAAACTTATTGGTACAGTATTGAGTAATTTGTTTATATTACTATAGTTGTTATATTACCACAGCAACTATAGAATTATCACAACAAATTAATTCAAGTACTTTACTATAGTATGGTTCAAAAACACTATAGTATTTATTATAAATTACTATAGCATTTTTTCTCTCGTTTGGGTTACCTCAGTCCGTTTACTTGGGTTCTTGAAAAAAGAAAAAAAAAAAAATGCATTTGTATCGGTCAACCACTCCAAAAACACTTTAAATGGATAGTTCACCCAAAAATGAAAATGGTCATTTATTCACGCTATGGAAGTCAATGGGGACCAACAACGGTTACCAGCATTCTTCAAAACATCTAATATTATAAAGCGGAGCGTTCCGGTGCTTGACTCTGATTGGCTGAGCCGC